ATTTCAATAAAATCATTCTGGCTTCCATTATATGAGGTCTGTGTAGAAGGTATCCAGCCATGTACAATGAAAAATAGAGACATTTATTGAAGAAGACACAAGATACAAGAAACATTGCACATAGGACAATGGCATCTCAGTTCCCTTCAAAGAAAGTACCTTCAGACTTCACACAGTTCTCGCACAGTTGCCCCATAGTATTTTCCTGAATCTCATCAACAGTCTGAAATCCCTTTCCTTTCAAAAGTGATTTTAGTTTTGGAAAAAGCCAGAAGTTGCAGGGTGTCATATCTGGTCTGTAGAGGAGCTGAGTCACCTGAGCGATTTGATGTTTCACCAAAAAACTTTGCAGGAACCATAATGCATGAGCGGGCACATTGGGATGAAGCTGCCAATTACAGCTGAAGCCTTCAGAATCATTGGAATAGTTTCCATGGAGGAATGTTCAAGCTTAATGCAAAATCTGATGCAGATTCATTGCTCTACTCACTCAGTCACTTTAAACTCCATGGCGTTTACACACTACACATGCTCACTCAAGGGCATCTACTGCCCCCACTAACTAGTACAGTGAAGTCATCATTGTTCACGCACGTGAGTTTCAGTCCACTCTCCTTCGCTGCCAGATCACATAGATGTTGTGCAAACCATTCTTATATTAACAATGGCTGGAGTTTTTCTGGACAGGTCTTATATAGCAAATGAACATTCGGTATTTAAGAATATAAAAGTGAACTACATTAAGGGTTTGTTCTGGAACTTTCTTTTGTCAATTCATTCATATAGATGATTTTGAATGCTGGCTCCCTATGAAGAAACATAGAGCAGACCACCAGTGAAATTAGTATGAAGTCAAAGTGAGTCCCAAAAACTCTAAGGAAGCTGCCCTGCTAATATTCAGAAATTAACAAAAACTAAGCAAAATGGAATTCTTTGGCTAGAGACTCCACATTGCAGGACTATTTGCAAGAAAAAGATGGCTTTTAAGGATTTTGCAGGATTTGAGTTATGTTGGGATTAAGAGTTAGTGTTAGAACCAAAATTAGCATTTGCCCCATACTCAGCAGTGAGAATGGATGAAGAAGCCACTTCTGTGTAGTAAGGACTTGGAAAGCAGGGGCTGAGGCGTGGCGACAGTAACTAGCTGCAGGTCCGTAGGGAAGAGGGGATTGCACGGAACTTCCCATCAGTTTCCTAATAAACTGATGACTAATGGTCACAAGGATGTTGGATAGATATAGGGACTCCCAGTTGCAGCTGAATTTCCTTACTGCCAGTGGCTAGATGGAAGTTTTCTAGGCAAATGGAGATGTCCTGTCTAAGTTACAATTGAGGAAGTTCAAGTCCAAAGAGATGAAATAATCACCCAGCTAAAGGTGATGGCAGAAGAACAAGGGCCATCCAAATCCGAGAGAGTAGGCCTTTCTTTCCCACATGGCAAGATGGGCAATGTGTCAGCTCTCCTTTCGGAGACTGGATGGAGCATCGAAATGCACAGAGAAACCCACCATCTTTTCAGCCAGTGTGGTCAACTTTCCCCCTGGCTAAATCAGAGTAAATCAGAGAGAAGTCACATTACCTCACTGATTCAAGTTTTATTTCTCATGGAGTTGTTAACAAGAAGTGAAATGGATAAAAATCAGAAAAGGAGAGCGCAGGACATAGAAAATCTACAAAGTGACTAACCACAGTGTAACTGAATGTAAACACAAACACATGTCTGGTGTGGATCAAACACCTTCATCACATTCTAAAATCTCAGGGAAGCCAAGTGAATCTAGACGCGGTAGAATAATTTCTCTGGAATAGAATAACATGCCAGCCTTTCTTAGAACCTGCTGAAGGTTATATGAAACGGAGGCACTATTCCCCTTATCACAAGTGGTACAGTTGTAACTAAAAATAAAAATGGCCTTCCTGGTGAGGCATTCCCATGCGTGAGTCTGCCTTCCCATCCTCTGCATTGGACAAGTAAGCCAACAGATGGTCTTTAGACTGTGAGGAGTGTGACGTATTTCTGCACACACACACAGACATGCTCCCGAGAAGTAGTCAGCCAGTTCTTTTCTGCAGTGCCGCCATTCAATCCATGCCAGCACAAACACAGGCCAAAGGGCCCCAGCCCGGGGCCACAGTTAGCCACACTGAGGTGACTAACTTCCCCTGTTGCCTTTCCTGGGCTAACAGCCTCACTCTGGGTGTGCGGGAGCCCATCTTCCTAGATTCTCTTTCCTCTTAACCCTGCCCTCCCCATCCAGATGACCATTGGCTTTAAAACTATTTCCTCCCATCCTTCCCAGCAACTGTCTACCCCTATGACCAGCTCTTCTCCACACTAATCAGTTGTCTTCTGGCTGTTTCTCCTGATAGCAAGGATGAAGAGGAGTTTTCTAACCCTGAGAGCATGGGCAGAGGGGTTGAGGAAGAGGAAGAGACCTTACCCCCAAAGGCTCCGCCTTACGGTGGGATATCTAAAAATAATCAGCTGATAGCCCTGCAAAAGTGAATCTTCTGGTGGCTTCTCTCCTGTATCTGTGAGTATCTATCTCCTTCCTGGCTATTTCAGATGTGAATATTCTAATGGGGGGGGGCAGAATTTAAGACTAGAAAATTGATTATTCCCTCTAATCCATTCATTTGTGGGTGTTGCTGTGTAAGTTGAAGTTCTTTTGGTTAAAAATCTCTATACTATGTCAACCTATTAGGATAGTGTTGTGTAACTTGATATAAACTCCATTAGCAGAAAGGGAGAAAGATCCTGGATTTAATTCACCAGGCAGGTAAGGTATCATTACATATCTCTTCAAGGCCCCCAGGAATATGGGCATACAGTCCAAGACACCACTGTGTGTTTCAGACCTCGCACAAAGTCTCCTGAGGGGCAGGAGAGAGAAATGGGGCCTGGAGTCCAACCTATCTCCCCTATCTCCATGTCCCTGCCTTGTGCCCCAGCAAGGGTTTCAGGGCCTGCAGACATTTCATCACACAAAGTCATCTCTGGCTGGCTAAGTCTTGTGTTAGTTTGGTGGGCATTTACCACCTTTTCCTGAATGGATCTTCCCACAGCAGAGGCCCCCTTGGGGAGAACCAGGGCTTTCCTTCAGCATCATGTCTCTGCTGGTTTTAATGTCTGTAAATGAAGAAATGAGATCAAAAGTGACTTTACAAAGCTTCTTTAGCAGTGGAATCATTTTTTCAAACAAATTCTGATAAACCTGATGTCTGAATCAGAGCTGCTCTGGTTAAATTCTGGATGGGGTCTGACTTCCCCCCTCCCCCAAAGCATGGTTTATTGTGGACTGTCATTGAAGAATTTCTTTGCTACATATTACTTTTAATGAATCATCAGAGTTTGAGCCAAAGCAAAATAAATTTCTGCCACAGGGTTACTCAAAGTTTCTTCTTAAACCACTGTCTAAAGGTACAAAATAGGCTGGTAATTAATTGTCATCATTGTCATTCATGACTCTCCTCCTCCCTTGGTTGTTTTTATTTTCCAGGGAGACTGAGGCTGTAAAAATAGATATCTTGCTTACATTAAATGGTTGCACTATGCTGAGGATCAAAAAGTCCAGTTATTTCATGACAAGTTATAACACGCTCTTGATTCTTTATGATTTCAATAAGTGCCCCTCTTTTACCTTGCAGTTTTGTGCTTTGTCGGATGCCATGAATGCGCACCCTCAGGTAAAGCACATGGTGATGATGCTTAAGATACAGGGCATCCGACTTCAGTTACTCATTACTCCTTTTTTCCTTTCAATCTATTCAGATCACTTCTTCTAGTTCTATGCTGAGAAATGTGGTACTTATAAGAGACTTTATCTATCAAGCATTTATTTACTTTTTTAGCCCTTTCAAGCCTTCTATTAAAAATATTTTTTTCTCTCTGATGTTGTGAAGATTAATTTTACCTGTCAATTTGGTTAGGCCACAGTATCCAGACATTTCGTCAAACACAGTCTACATACTGCTGTTATTTTTCAGGAGAGATTAATATTTAAATCAGTAGACTTTGAGTAAAGCAGGTAAGTGAAAAGACTGAAACCCCCAGCAGATGAATGACTTCTGCCTCCAGACCTTAGTACTGGAGCTGCAATATCAACTCTTCCCTGCGTCTCCAGCCTGCTGGCCTGACCTTACAGAATTTGGACTTCCCCCCAAAATAAATCTTCTGTCTCTCTCCTTCTCTCTCTGTCTGTCTTCATTCTTTCTCCCTGCACACACACACACACACACACACACACACACACACACACACACACTGGATTCTCCTTCTCTAGAGAACCGTGATATACAGATTCTTAATTCTGACCCCTGCTTTTATCTAGACGACCACTTAAAATGCCAATGAAGGCCATGTCCACATTTCTCATACCTTTTATGAATATAAGCATCTCTTATTAATTGCTGTTGATTCGCCAAAAGGCAAATATTTAATTAAACCTTGAGAGAGAATAAAACTGCACATGAATTATCTAAGAGCACATAGGGCCATACATTTCATTAAGATAGTTTAACTAATAATTATGTCCCTTCTACCCAGTGTTTGTTTGAGCACGTTGATTGTTTTTTGTTTCTTGGTGGTTTTTTCTCCCGAAGTTCCCCAGAGGAAAGATGATTTTTTCTAAAGTCATATGTTTGTTGATTTGTATTTACTTTGCTTCTCAGTGTGTTCTATTAGAAGCAGTGCTGATCACACTACAGATGAATCCTTTTGTTTATTACCCTTGAAAATGAATACACAGGGGTAATTATTAACTTCACTGAATGACAATGAAGCCTATTAAGAGAAAAAAAAAAACTTAGCTGGTCGGTGAGCAAAACTCGGTTTTCCACTGTATCAATTTCCTGCTGTTTTTCTTGGTATTACTGAACTGTGAGTTTCCACAGGACAGGAGGGTCACTCCAGTGTTGGTGGAGTGGGTTTCGAATGCACACTGTAAGGGCAGACACGGCTTTCTGTTTGGCTATTAAAGAAGCAGTAAAAATCAAAACACCTCCCATGTGCCTGCCCAGGACTGAAGGGAAGCGGTTACGGAATCTTCGGTACAGGCCTTGCGAGATCGTTCCTGCAGGGGACGAGGCAGGAGGCTACACCATCAGCCACAGGGGCCAAACTCTGTGAACAGAAAAATAAGGATGCTTACACTTCAGGAAACACTGCTGTGCCCCTGCCAATTTCTCCTTGTATTAACTGTGTCTTTCACGAGGGTGACGGTTAATAGCAAGGCTGTGTATGTTAATGGCCTCCCTTGGTAACAAAAGTTTGCAATTCTATACTGGTTCTGCTTATTCTTTTAAAAATATTTTGAAATTTTCTGTCATATGAAATCTGAATGCCTGTGAAACGCTGGGCTTCATACAGGTTTCTTGCTTATGTTTGATGCTACTGCTTCCGAATTCTGGTCACTCCTGCTCTGGTGCTGGGAGAGCATGTTTCTGGGCAATAAAGAACACACAATCGTCTGCCGTCGTTAGCGGAGCAGGGCGTTGATCTCTGTGACCAGGTGGCACCGCTGGAGTGCTTGACACAACATGGTTAAAGATGTTCTTGTTTAAGGAAATGGAGCTAGAAGAGCTCAGAAAGCAGCGCAGACGCTTCCCGGCACAGCGCTTGCTGTTCATCTGAGCCAGACTGCTCTGCCTGAAAACCTAGACGATGCTCTGCAGAAGGGCTCAAAGGGCTGCTCACAGGACACGGGCCAGTGTCTGCGCCCTGCAGAGGGAGGAAAATCAAGCCATTAACTGGGCTGAGAAATACCCTCCAAAGGCTCCGAGCTATTTACTCTGAGTAAGTGCATGTATCCACATTATTCCCTCCCAAAAGGAGTTACTTTGTGTTATAAGAATACTGCTCAGAAAAAGAGAGCACCTAAAATTGTCCTAGTTACAAAGCTATGAATTTTATAGATCAGTTGTTTATACTGACTACTTCAGACTTAACTTCTCTTACACATGTAATTAAAATGCATAACCTAATAATTCTTTTTATTGTCACAGTTGTAACATCCTTGTGATTTATTCATTCATTCACTTATCACGGAGCTTCTTTTATGGGTCAGACACTGTGCTGGGTACTGAGGACACATAGTCAAATAAGTATAATACAGTGAGTGATAAAAAGCAGTGAGTTCCAGAATAGAAGCAAACTAGGAGAGCTGAGAGCTTATATATTCATGGCCAGACTAGTGATTTACAAAAGGAAACCAACCCTAACTAACCATCATGCCTTTTTCTGCTGCATCCACCTTAGGCACGCACAATTTTAAATGCTAAGATGATATTTTCCATTCTTTTCTTTCTTACCTCCTCAAAATGTAAGTTTGAAATCCTGAGAAACTCCGATGGATTTAAACCAGGGGGTTTCGTAGAGGAATCGTGGTTTATTGGTACTGCTCAAATGCATTTGTCAACGTAAGAGTATGAGAGAAACTGTGGCTAAATGATGTGGTTCTTGTTTGAAAGGAAACTCAAAGCAACCACAGTCATCGCTAATGTACAATGTGGAAATAGGGGCTGAGCTGGAACGCAGCAGCACCGGCTGGAGAGGGCTGGATGCCAAAGCTTGGGCAATACCCACAACAGGGTGAATGCAGAGGAACTGGTTTAAACACCCCCCCCCAAAAAAAAAAAAACTGCTACTGGGACAGAGGAACACAGCCCCAAAATGGCTACTGGGAGAGAGGACCAGAACGTGTCCAAATGAGACCCGCATCCAGCTGAGAGCCTCTCAAGTTCAACAGAGAGACTTTCATTCTTGTGTGCAGTTATTTAGACTGAAAATGGAAACGTGCACTGTGAGGCAGATCTCATTCATGCATAATTGAAACACCCAAGGGTAAAATAGTGAGGTACAATGGATGACATCTGATAAAATGAGAGCAAGGAGAGGGAGGAAGCTAAAAACAAGATACAAGACCCTGGGGACCAGAAAGAAGAATACCTGACATAGGCCAAATAATCTCAAATAAAAATATTCAAATTACCAGACAATGCAAATATAAAGGCAAATGCATGGAAGAGACTTGAGGATTGGGTAGGAAAAAAGTGCTGAGAATATGAAACATTCAAGGGCTGGTGAGTGGGACTCTTATTCCAACAAAATGCAGCGCAATAGGGTTTCTGTAGTGTTCTCATAAGCCGAGGAACTAGACAGAATTAAAGTAGCACAAGATTCATTGTCTTGAAAAATGTTCTGTTCTAAATAGCTATTGAGATATATGTTCATATATAGGAACCATGGAGCATATGCATGCATATTATATTTTCCTAACTTATTGGGAGAGCAGGAGTGCATGGGTACATGTGTGAGTCTGTATGTAGTTGGCTTTCTAGATGTGAAGAGTAATTTCCATTTCAGTAGAGAGATTTGTAAAAAAGTAAAACTCATAACGAGTATTTAAGGACAAAAGCGACTGGCCAAAAAACAAAAACAAGGCGTGTGGTGATTTTGCCTGTTGCTCTTGGAGATCTCACGGGTGGTTTATTGAGCCCCTCTAATAAACCAGTCATGATTCTAGACCCTCTGGACTATTCTGTTTAATCTCCATGGGAATTTCCTGGAAAGGGATTATTACTCCCATTTTAGGACTTGAGATTCTGAGGCTCAGAGAAATTAAGTCACATAACCTTGACCAAGTGGACACCCAAATTCTTCCCATTAAGCACTTTCTCCACTCACTCCCTTTGGAAGGTGAAAGGGGAGAACTGACTAGAAAAAGTCTCCCAATGCAACATTTTTAGTGTTGGGCTAGAAATTCTTGCTGCATATTTTCAATAAATAAAGTGAATAGTGAAAATAAGGCTATGTTTATTTCCTTTCTTAAAAAATAAAAGAGAAGCTTCTAGATTGCTTGATGATTGTGCAGATTTGTCTCTGTATTTAGGCCTATGTCTTGCTCACATTATTATCCCTTGCAATGGGAAGAAATCTAGAGTTATATCACATACAGTGGGAACATGAGTGAGTCGTAGGTATATGCTCCATGTGAGATCCCCTATGGATTTACCATGTATGTCTTTAGCCACCAAGAAACTAGTAATGAGGCATCTAACTTCTTAATGTCAGCAAAGGGTTATTATACACTTTTATCCACCAGGCAGTGAGAATTCAAAGAAGTGGAAGTCACAGTTTCTGCCTTCTGGAGACTCAAGATAAATATGTCTGTGTGTAAACATGCACATGTATGTTCTTGTATGTGTGTAAGATACATGCTTCATGGGAGACATGGGCAATAAGCACAACAGGAATTGGGAAAAAAGAAAGATTGTCAAAGGCTTGGGTTCATTCGGCTTCCAACACATGTTCTCCCGAAGTTGATATCCATACCTTAAACATTGCTAACCTCTGCTATTTTCTGATTATTTTAAAATGACTTAGATTTCAAGAATCATGGTCTCAGATTCTAGAAGACCTATTAAGATACTACAGAAAGGTAGTCCAACATGCCAGAGACAGGAAAACTGAGGCTCAGAAGGGCTCAGTGACTTACAGAAGGTCACATGGACAGCTAATTTACTTTAAAAATCTCTGAGACTAAGTATGTTATATGGAAAACTTTGAAGATAAGCCTTTTAGCTGGAAATTAAGGCTGTAAACCAAATGGAAAACAATGAACTGGAAGGCATTAATAAAGTTTAAGAATGACAATAAGTAGATCAGAGGGCCCAGACAAACTTTTAAATTTAGAATCAATGAGAAAGAACCTCACACTCAATAATATAATTTCTTTTCTCCCAGATGTAAAACATCATTTTATTACTTTAAGGCTGGGCAAATCTTTTAAATTTATTGGTATGTGTAGACATGACCCTCCTTGAAGTGTCCTATGCTAAGAACAAATAAGCAAACAAAGAAATAACTATAGCAACAAAATCCTCCTCTGTTTTTCTCCTGTCATTCAAAGGTCACATTTTCACAGAGAAGCAGATTCTGATCACAGCTTGACTTCAGGAAAGCAATCAAATTAAACTACATTGTACTATAGTTGAAATGACTGATAAGATCCTTTTCTAACTCCATCAATGGTACCATGTTGTTAATCCAAATGAATCTGTAATTAGATGTCAAGGGTTCCCCAGACATTATCAGTATATCAGAGACGGGATCATATTAGCAGCAAATGACTCCAATCTTCTTGGCTTTGGCCCTACATGTTCATACATCATCTCACCCCCTTACAAATCTCACTCTCTGGTTTCTAAACTCTTGGTAATATCTTACGCGAGCTTAGGTCCGAGTTAGCCAGGTACAGTCTATAGTGCATCTACTATGTCCTCCTGTCCAACTGGAGCTATTTTCATTTATCTGCTCAACCCCCTCACTATGATCGCTGTTCCTGATGCCCTTCATGACAACGTTGACACTCTAACCAAAAGTAGTACATACCCCCAGGGAGTATTAGAAACTCATGAGGTACAGCCTTTGGGGTCTCTGGTGATTTAAAGCCAGTGTAGCCAGAAGTGAGAGCCAGGGTCACATATTGATACCAAAGTAACCCCACGCATCTATGTCTCATGGAATCTTATGAAAATAGTTCCTTTATTTTCATACTTGGAGTGCTCCGTACACAGGGCTTAATACAAATCTCTGAAGGTGACTCATATGAAGCAATAAATGTTCAACTTTCAAGTGTGTCCCCTTCTTCCCAACTCCTTTATTCAAGCTCTGAACTGCATGCAACTTGGTTTATAGAAATAGTTGTCTGTGGGCCTTTATCCCACTAAATAGTCTATCAAGCCTATCACTGTGTCGGTCACATTGTAAGTGCTCAGTAAATCTTTAGAATTGATTAGTAAATGAATCAATGCAAAAATTAAAATATTATGAATTCCAGTAGACATAGTTTCATCTAAGCTTGGAGCCACAGCTGAAAGCCAGATTCCCAGAAAAATATGAGGTAAGTATAGAGAACTACATGGGACTCATAACCTCCATTTGGCCCCTCTGCCTGAGTGCACACACACACACACACACACCTTACTCCAAAGAACATAAGGAAGTTCTTGGTAGTCCTGGCCCCGCCTTCTTTGGGGGAGACTCCCTCTCGGGTAATGTCTGCCCTTTTATTGCCATATTAATGCTGGTTCAGCTGATTATGGGCCACTGGTCTACCTAAT